GTGTGTGTGTGTGTCTCAGTGTGTGTGTGTGTGTGTGGTCTCCCACAGAGATAAGAGCTGCAGCGTCTGAAGCCTTTAATCAAACTGAGGAACTCAGTGAAACTCTTAAATATTAAACTGTCAGAAATTATCAAGTAAAATCTGAGATGAAGAAAATAAAAACATAAATCTTTGACAGGCGCCACCAGGAATCTTGGGCACCATGACAAAAAAATTAAATTCCCTCTTCGCAGCTGTTGTTATAATTTCTTGAGTCTATCTGACCATCAGACGCGTCTCAGTTTTAAAAGCTTCCAACTGCCTTGTTCTATTTGGTCCAATACTGATGCTAGCACAATATTTACTGCTAGTTACTGTTACATCCAACAGTCAGCACACAACACAGCAAACAGGTTGCTTAAATGCTTGATTAGTTTCATCTCATTGAAATGTTTCTCCCCACCAGCAACAGTCAGAGGCAACATGCAGAATATACATGAAGCTATCCAGACTTCTCAAAATGCTGTGTGGTTGCATTTCATTCAAGCGGCAGAATATAACTAAGAAAAAATGTTTCCTCCATATTTGTTAAAGCTGTCACCATGTTTGCTATGAAGCAGATAATCTGTTTCCAGATCAATCTGCTGCACCTGCTCCCTGAGCTGCTACTGCTAGCTAAATGCACCGACCAAAAACAACCAATCAGAACCAGGAGGAGGGTCTTAGTGCTCTCAATCAACCTCGTTCACTCACTGCTAAATGTGCTAATGGAAGATTTTATAAAGATTGTTTGAATTTCTGTGAGTAACAAACACATTGCTTTTGTTGTGTAACTATAAAGAGTAGAGAGAGAAAAAAATCCACATAGATTCCCTGGAATGATGCTAACTAGCCTGTCACTGAACACAGTTTACACTGGGACCGGGGTCAAAGGTTAAGCTGGTATCAGGGTTAGAGCTGCTGCCCGCTGTCTCATCTGTTGTTGAGTGTGGTAAGAGGTACAAAGACAAGTTAAATATATGAATATGTTGGTAAATTCTTTCCTTAATTCATTAAATGCTAGTCTGCAACAGACTGGCGACCTGTCCAGGTGACCCCGCCTCCCGCCCGACACCACTAAGGGAAAACGGTTACAGAAAATGGATGGATGAATGGATTAAATGCTGACTATGCTGAATTGATCATCTCACACAGTCTACCTGCCTCTCTTGGAGGAAAAAACTGTTACAAATCGGCCCTCCGGTCTTTTTCTCTCCATCTATGTCTCTATTCTTTGAAAACCTGACTGTTATTTTTCGTAGCAGCATAGTAGGAGCCCCAGTTCTGGTCTTTTACTGACTGCTGCTGAAAACGTCACCGCTAAGCAGGAACGAACCATTTCATGCAGATCCAGGGGCTTCAGGGCAAACATGGATGTGTGTTGTTTGGTCTGGAAGGGGTAACTTTTATTTACTGCTAAAACAATTTTAGAAAAAACAATATGATAAATTTTATAATTGACAGGGCCCCCAATGTTTTTTCAATTTCTATAGGAAAAAAAATTGTGGGAGGAATTGTCCTAACTTTGCCCCGATACGGCGCCTCTGAACTGAGACAAAATGTTTTGGAGAAAAATGGGAGACTTTTAAATAAGAAAAGTCTTACTTTCTTAGGAAATAAGTAAATATATAAGGTAATTCATTAAAATGCAATAAATTAACCAAAGATTATAAATAACATCTGCCTAACGCATGAAAAAATAGATATTTTAATGCTACAGGAAATTTAAGAATCTTAACTTCTCCAATAAATTATTTGAAAAAGTAATAAATGTAAAACTAAAACATTATCCAAAAGGAAAAACAAAAAACAGGTAAATTAATTAATATATTGGGTAATAATGTAATCTTTAATCTAATAAAACATTATCCACTCATCTTCAAATGTTTCAAATGGACATAAACGTTAATATTGTGAGATTTCCTTGCTTAATCCTGCAGCAGCAGAAAGTTTAATGATGTTTATCTGTCATCATGTCTGAGCTTCAGGGAAACAGCAGCAACGGTTCAGCAGCTCATCGGGACGTTTTCATGTTTCTGCATCAAATAAATCAGAGCAGAAGATTCTCTGATCAGGAGCGTGAAACCTGCAGCAACTTCCCAGTTCAGAGGAGGAGCTCTGATCTAATCACAGGACGAACCCCCAACACGCACACACACACACACCTCCGACTCCAAACATCTCTCTGTTTGTAGTCGATTCACAGCAGAGACCACCAAAGAAGCGGCTGCCCCGCCTGAGGTGTCGCCTCACCGGGGGGCCAGGAGCAAACGACCCCCCACCTTATCACCACCAGGACAAACGTCCCCAGCAGGACGCAGCAGCAGAACCCCCACACAGCTGCAGACACGATGAGAAAAGCCTGAATCTGCGGCCAGAGACTGAAAACAGGGCCGCTCCACCTCTGTGAGGGGCCTCAGGGCCCAAACCGGCTGCTGGGCCCCGGCAGGACGAGTCCAAACTATTCAACTACAGCTGGGCCACAAAATTCATTCATTAAAAATGCAGAAATTACAACTTTGGAGTCTTTATCAATATATTTTTAGTTGTATCTGCTCAATAATAAATACATTTTTAAATAAAATCGTTGTCCTCCAGATGAGACTAATATTAGCAGCGTAATGCTAACGATAGGGTTAGCATGCCTGTTACAGGGATTGCTGTTCCTAAATTGAATCTGAGGGATTTAATCTTTCACCATAGAAACATGAATCAGGTTTCCTTGTAGCTCTAAAGCAGAATAAATGACCTGAATTCAGTATTTCTGTTATTAGCAGACATGATATCTAAAATCCGCTGCAGGGAGTGAAATGTTTTGTTTCTCTGAGGTAATCTTCGTTCAGGTGTAATAATATCCATAAACTGGTGGCTGTTAAAGATTTATGTCTGGTGCTTTATGAGATTAACAGTTGGTTCCCTAAAATTATAGTTTTCTTTAAAGAAGTGACTAAAACAGGTTTATGGGTGTTTTCTGCTTCGTGGACCTTTGAGTTGTAGAGACAATAAATGTTAAGCAGCAGCTGCTTCTGCTGAAGCGACTCGAACAGAAACAGAGAAGTTCAGGAGTTAAAGTCCAGAGGAACCCGGTGACCTCAAAACGTCACCCGATTCTGATGGTTCTGGTACAAACCGTTTTAGTTTCTCTTTAGAAAGAAACAAATCAAAAAACTAATTCATAACAACTAAATCTTCATGTCTGTATGAGAATCTGAAGGAGCAACAATGTCTTCCTGATTCTGCGTGCATGAAGCCTCGGCTGTAACCTTGGAGGATCAGCAGCAGCAGTCAGTCCTCCAGGCGAAATGCAAGCAGAGCAAAGGGAGGAAGAAGATAAATAGGAGCCCACATCAGTCGGGCGTCTCTCTCAGATCTGCGAGACGTAAACAAGACGAGCGCTGAAGGAACCTCTTCAGATACAATCTGTTCATCCGATTATTAAAAAGCTCAGATCCTGCTGACTGATCCGAGTCTGCACAGAGGATCTCTTCATCTGTTTCACAAATAAACAATAATCTGCCTCAGTTTGTTTCTCTGAGCTGCTGCTGGACGGTTTGAGCTCCGACTTTAATTTAAACCCTGAACGTCTGAGCCCAGAGATCTCTGCAGACAAAACAGGCAGAAAGTCTTCAAACGTCTGTTTTCCACATTAAAAGGAAGAAAACTGAGTTTTGGTGAAACTATGAAAGTCGAGGAAATTAAATTACATTACTCTTTAGTTAGGATGCTAAAGCTAACATCTCACATGCTGACTTTAGCAGAAGAACTTCTCTGACATAATTATGATATCAACATCAAGAATATGAACACCAATATTAAATACTAACGAGTAAATAGTTAGCATGATTATGCTAACGACGATCAGATGCCTTAGCAACGCAGCATGCTAACGGTAAAATGTGTAACGATCAGAGAAGAAATGAATCAACAGAACAATAATCTGTTACTGGATTTATTCAGTGAAACGTTTCTTTACTGGGAAGATTTGGGGAAACAGCTTTGAACATGTTGATGTATGTTAGCATATATTAGCATGCTAATAGCATGAACAGATACCAAAGACAACCCAGTTAGCAAGCTAACGCCAGTGCTCACAACTAATTTTACTTTCAAGCTTGTTGAAAACATGGAGCAACTTTATAATTAATTATAAATTAATGTACATTAATGTAATTGGTAACACTTTATTTGAAGGGGGTGAATAAGACTGTCATGACACTTTCATAAACATGACATAGCACCTGTCATGAACATGAATAAGCCTTCATGAATATTTATGACTGTTGTCATAAAGCGTCATTCGGTAAATTATGACACTTTTTATACCAAGTTGACATTATTCAAAATGTCTTTGTTATGACAACTTAACATCAACCAGGAAATCATTACTGTTTAAACTTTACCTTTAATAACATAAAGTTACCTAGTTTTTAAAGTGCTATCAGTAATACTTTTATAACAAATTTATATCAGTAATTATTTCTTGGTTAATGTCAAGTTGTCATAACAAAGACATTTTGAATAATGTCAACTTTGTATTAAAAGTGTCATAATTTACCGAATAACGCTTTAATTACAACAGTCATAACTATTCATGAAGGCTTATTCATGTTTATGACAGGTGTTATGTCATGTTTATGACAGTGTCATGTCAGTCTTATTCAACCCCCTTCAAATAAAGTGTTACCTTGTAATTTAACGTTTATAAGGAGGAGAATCAGCCGACGCTGCGTTGATCTGCTGTCAGTTAAACGCTGCAGGTGTTTCAGGTAGCAGGTTTTCTGCCTGTAGGCCCAGTTTAATCAGCTCAGGTTGAGATGAATGGAGGTTAGAAGTTAAACTGCAGTTGAAGGTTGACCTTTAACCTGCAGAGCCTCAGAAGGCGGCGGCGGCGGCCCGGTTTGCAGCCGCAGCCTCGGTGCCGCTCATTAATCCGTCCACACGTCATGTGTTTACCCCCCTGCCAGCACAGCTAAAATTACCCTGCATGCATCTGCTTGTTCCTGTAAAGCGCCTCGGCTCGCTCAGACTCCTCGCCGTCTGTAATGACCCCTCCCCCCCGGAGGCCCCCCGGGGCCACGGCTTCACTTCCTGCCTCAATCACAGAGCGGAGCGGCTCCCGGCCTCCACACGCCGCTCTCCTCTCGGGTCAAAGCTGCTGCTGTTTCCGTCCCGCGCCGTTCCCACCGTGACGTCGGCTCCCAGCAGGGAGGAAATATTCAGAGTCGGCTTACAGTGGGGTCAGAGGTCAACACTGGGAGGGAGCTGGTTCCCAACTGGAGCAGAGAAACAGCAGCTGAAGATTCCCAACAGGAAACCATCAATTAACTGGCTGAGGAACAAATGATGGGATCATTCAGAGAAGATCCTGAGAAAGTTTACTGGAATT